ATAGATAGATAGATAGATAGATAGATAGATAGATAGATAGATAGATAAATAGATAGATAGATACTGTAACAGAGAGAGGAGGAGGAGGCACAGCCAGAGAGTTTAACCCAAAAGTATCATTATAAAGGGAATAATATCAATCTAAAAAGGAATAATACAAATAGTCATTTACATGGATTAAGTTGTAGCATGCTATGCTAAGTAAGAAATTAAAGCCCAATTTTAACACTTTAAAGCACTCTCCAGGCAGAATGAGCCAGATTATCCAGACCATCAGATAATTTAGACCAGATTGAAATGGCTTTGCCTGTTTGGTGAAATCTCCTCCTGATTGTCTCAGGGCTGATGAGACTGAACAGACTCTTTGTTTGAGTCGATTTGCCTCCAGACCACGGGTTACGGATTTCGATGTGTGCATCCTCCAGCTAGCATGACTAGCATTTAGCAATAAAACAGGCTGACTCGGGGCTCCAGCTTTATGCCGTGTCTTCACTAAAAGCCTCACAGATCTCAAGAAGGCAACACCCACCCCCCCGCTCATCTGCTGGCCTGTAAAAAAAAAAAAGAGTGCTCAGCAGAGTGGACGGACAGAAACCCACAGCGGGAATTAGCTTCTGTGGGAGTGACGGAAATGAGGCACTCAGGAACCACTCAGTCAGCCTGTGGTCTGAGAGCCTCCAGAGTGGGACGAGATGGAAATTGGGTTTGAGGAATAAAGCAGAAAGTTGCACCGTCTGTGGGAGTTCCAGAGCACAACTACGCCACCTAGTGGAGAAGAGCCGAAAGGGCCGACCCTCACCGGTGAAAAACGCTTTACGGAAGGGACTGACGGGTTTATTAGCCCAGTGTTTTTCAACCTTTTTTGAGCCAAGGTACAGTTTTTCATTTAAAAAATCTCGAGGCACACCACCAACCAAAAATGTCAAACAAATCTGTAGCCGCCTATAGTAACACTATAGTTATTCTTATCTTATCCTAAGTGTCTTGAATAGGAATTAAATAAACACAAAAATGTATTTTTTATCATATTTTATATTTCTTCTTTCAAATTGCTCTTAACTTCAATATACAAAATTATATACAAAATCTAGTCATAAGGAATTATTACATGATTACTCCACCAGTCACTAGAACAGCACACACTCAGAAATGGAATATTATTTGCAGATAATTAATTCCTTATCAAAAAATCTTTTTAGACTAATTAGGTGAAATAGGATGATTTTCTACACCTGACCATCACTAACGGCACACTAGTGTACCGAGGACCAGGGGTTGAAAAACACTGTATTAGTCATCTCTATGTCAGAAAGATGGAGGTTCCCAAGCCTTTGTCCCATATTAATGGAATAAAAAGTGTGACTCGTGCCTTTTTGGATAATAAAACAATACCAAGCAAATACTAAAGTCCTGGTTTAACTACGCAGAGACGCCTTTTCCTGCAGATATCACCAAGATAATCACATCCAGGGGCCAAAACCACAGCTGTCAGTCAAAAGGATCCCACAAGTAAACATAAAAACCTGTTTCTAATTTATTTTTGATGCAAAACTTGAAAAAAAACAGAAACTGCCACCTCATAATTCAGAGTTTTAATATAGATTGTGTCTTTTTTTCATTACACACCAGCATGGTGACCACAAAAGTAAAAATGCTCATATATGTTATAATTGTGTTGTTTTTTTTTATTATAATCCATAAGTCGGACCATGTTGTCTGCATGGACTGCATTGAGTATACTGATAATTTCTATATCAAATTTAATAGAAAATCAATACATCCCAATGGAAAACTTGACCAGAAGTGATTTGACATTTTCATTTATTTAAGTTCACGTTGAAAAGCCGAGTGTTGATATACAAGAAAATGTTCTTTGTAAGAACTCTGTTCGGTTCTGTGCTCTGAATAGTAACACAGCGATAGCATCTTCTGATAAGACATCAGGGTTTTGCGTTTTGATTTTTTTTATAAAAGTGGGCATATCATAGAGCTCACCGCTTTGGAAACCTACAGAAACAGGATCCACCCTTTACCAGCCCTCCATTTTCTTCATCTTGCTCTTGGTAAAGAGTCACAATTCACTTGAGAGTACTTTGCAATCTCTCTGAGTTTCTTGTTAGGATTTGGCAAAAAAAATACTCACTTTAGCATTGTATGCTATCACATGATCTATGTAAATTACTGATTGTTTTATTTCTTTTATAAGTATATATTTTGTGTTAAAGTCTCTGGCTGTGTCCACAGACTCTCTCTTCTTTCTTTTCTTTTCTCTCTTTTTCTTTTTAGTCTGTCAGAGCCCAGCTGATTTACTTTGCTTGTGACCCAATAAATGTCATTTTTTATATTTTTGATCCACTCTGGTTTACTCTCAGGTTTCCAAGAAAAGAATCGGGTTAACATTCGCAACCAAACTCCCTCGAGGAGCCGAGCAAACCAGGAGGAGCCATCTTTTCTGCCCTTTGGTTGCACAATTGCTTCTTTGAACACATTTGTACAGAAACCTAATCTGGGATAATCAATAACCTGTTAGAATTTGGCTATTATGACTCCCTTTAGCATAGTTTGCTATAACATGATTTATGTAAATTACTGATTGTTTTATTTTCTTTTATAACTATATTTTGAGTTGAAGTCTCTGTCTGTGTCCACAGACTCTCTTTTCTCTCTTTTCCTCTCTCTGTTGCATTAGATCCACCTTTAGGTCAAAACACACACACACCAGAGCCCATCTGATATACTTAACTGTGTCCAATAAATTTAATTTTTATACTTTTGATCCACTCTGGTTTATTTTCAGATTTCCAAGTAAAGAATCGGGTTAACATTCTCAACCGAACTCCCTCGACATCTCATGCAAGGAGCCGAGCAAACCAGGAGGAGCCATCTTTTCTGCCCTTTGGTTGCACAATTGCTTCTTTGAACACATTTGTACAGAAACCTAATCTGGGCTATGATCATATTGAAGCTTGTTCTGGGGAATACCGTGGTGGGGATGGTGGGTCGGGGCCTTTCAGGAGCAGATTTTGTGTCGTGGCCCATCATCCTACAGTCGGGAGGCCTGGGGTATATGTCATCAGAAAGAGGCTTCAGTGACCTGTTAGGATTTGGCTATAATTACTCACCTAAGCATTGTATGCTATCACATGATCTATGTAAATTACTGATTCCTTATAGAACTTTATTTTTGTGTTGAAGTCTCTGTCTGTGTCCACAGACTCTCTTTTCTCTCTTTTTCTCTCTCTGTTGCATTAGGTCCACCTTTAGGTCAACACACACACACACACACCATTTGTTAGCACATTCCTGTCCTCTGCATGAATTAGGACCTGGCCTGTTCGTGCCCAGAGGTAACTGGCCAATAGGACTTGGTTGTGTCCAGTCCTCCTTTGAGGAGGCGGATGGAGCCCAGGAGATAATGCCCATCACCCAGATCTCAGGGCTCTTTACCACTGAGACCCAGAGAGAGGTTTTAGTCTTGATTTTTTTTTTATAAAAGTGGGCATTTCATAGAGCTCACCGCTTTGGAAACCTACAGAAACAGGACCCACCCTTTACCAGCCCTCCATTTTCTTCATCTTGCTCTTGGTAAAGAGTCGCGATTCACTTGAGAGTACTTCGCAATTTCTCTGAGCTTCTTGTTAGGATTTGGCTATAATTACACACTTTAGCATCGTATGCTATCACATGATCTATGTAGATTACTGATTGTTTTATTTCCTTTTATAACTATATTTTGTGTTAAAGTCTCTGGCTTTGTCCACAGACTCTCTTTTCTCTCTTTTTCTTTTTAGTCTGTCAGAGCCCAGCTGATACACTTAACTGTGTCCAATAAATGTCATTTTATACTTTTGATCCACTCTGGTTCATTCTCAAGTTTCCAAGTAAAGAATCGGGTTAACAGACCCATTGTTTTCCTTTAAAAAATTGTCTCCAAAAGAACACAAATGACTCAAGTGTAAAGTCAGCCACAGAATTATTTCTCGAAGAATACTCCCAAGCTTCTCAAGGATAACGCGTCCATAAATCTATAAGACAACCCCCCTTTTAAGGATGTAATTAGGTTCACATCAAGAGCAGAAGTTAAATAAAGCAGGAGCTACTCCAGCAGAGGGGGACACATGGAGGCTCCATCATTCTGTTACTCAGGTGCCCAAAGATAATGAACTAAATTAACTTTTCCTTTAATCTCTGCCTTATCTCAAATTAAAGCAGGAAGGAAAGATTAGAAAGGGTTTAAGAGAGTCGCAATAATTTGCCAGTTACCTTGAGGAAAGCTATGTTTAGACTGTATCTTCTCCCTGTGTCCACAGTCTCTGTACTGGACTTGTGTTGTGTTACACACAAATGAAAAGTCTTGTGCTTAAAAAGCCTCCGTAGGCGCGTAAAATTATTATCAAAGGCCTCCTTTGACACCAGTTTCTTCAAGGACTTGTGTTACTATGAAAGGACTTCATGTACAAAGTAAGCTTGTGCACTTAATAAGAAGGGGTTGTGTAACATGGGCGCTGACACAAGTTGTGAGTTGACCTTTTAATGTTGGCCCAACAGAAGTTCAACTTGTTAGATTATTTTTACCTGGTTGTTGAGTTGAGTTGTCTTCATTCTGACTATATTCCTCTTATAAAGCCACTGTAGTTCTGCAACACACCATATAAACACTATACATAGTAAAAGGAGACTTATTTGCTTAATTAACGTGACAATTAACCCAACCGGAGATAAACATTTACACAGTGCTGCTGCCTTCAGGTGCAGGCGGACAACCAATTAGCAAGCCAGATAAAAAGCAATATAATGAACAGTGAATTAAGTTTTTATTACTTTTCTTATTCAGCGTGGCTTAATTTTGAAACACTCTATACCACTGTAGTACGTGCTAACTTTCAGCTGACTTCGTTTCTGTTTTACTTAGGAAAGTTTTCGGTTTACGCGATGCGTTTGAACGCACCACCTAAATTTTTCTGACTGTACTTTTAACGGAATCAAAACAGGACAGGTCGCAGACAGCATGAGGAGGATGGCGGAGGAGGTCCAGCCCTGCGGGGAACAGAGGTGAGAAACTCTGAGTGGAAACACGAAGCTTTTTAACCACTTTCTGGAACTTTTAAACCGTGTCCGGTTGTGAAAGTGTTCCCGAGTAAATCCAGGACAAAAAGTTCCCCAACGGTGCCTTCTGCTTTTCCAACGGTTTTTCAAACTTGCTTCAATAACGGTCGACCAACGTTTACAACCGTAACCGCAAGCGCGACGTAAAAACCGTAATAAATCTGACTTTATTCAGTTTTTAGTTTTGTTTTTGTTGAGTTCGCGGCCGATTTACGTCGCTGACGTTTATTGTTCGAAAACAAGTCTTTCCAGAGCTGTCAAACCCGCTTGTTTTAGGTCTCAGACACTAAATTGATGACGATAACGCAGTTTTTATTACGGTTTTTGTACGCCGAATTTATTCCCCGGGGATTTGTAGTTTTAAAGACACTTTTCATCGACCGAAAGTGTGTTTCAAAAGCAATTACACGTTAAAAACTTGAGTATTTTCCTTAACTTCGCTGTGTGGACGGACAGTTGGGGCGTTAATATTAGATATACTGTACTCTGTACATGATGTCGTCAACTTTTTCATGACGAAGATACTAACACGGGTGATAACACACGGTCAAAGGTCGGTGTTGGTAGCACTCTGTGTCCCCTCTGACTGCCTGTTTTTCTGCCTGTTTTTCTGCCTGGACCTCAGCTCCTGGATATCCAGCTGGCTGCCCTCCTGGTGCCCCACTTCTCCCTCCCAGCTTAAAGATGCCGAAGAGAAAATGCTCAAGAGTAAGCACAAGACCCGTTTTTATACGTGTGTAATAACACAGAGGCTCAGTACAAGTGGGCATGTTTGTGTTTGTGTTTATGGATTTAGACGCTTTTATCCAAAGCGACTTACAGAGCAGACACAAAGTTCATCAATATGACAAAAAGTTCTCTAGAACAGGGGTCTTCAAGGCTTTCCAGGCCAAGGACCCTCAAACTAGTGGAGGGGGACCCCCTAAATATATATATATTGTATGAAATTGTGTGCTATCAAACTGGTTCTATAGTGTGTAAATGTACCTTGTTATTGGGCATTCAGTATTAAGATCCTCAGATAATCCAGAATAATACACAATACACAATACAATATTACAGAAAAAGGCAGAAAACAGCAGAAA